AGGGAGACACAGAATCGGAAACAGGCTCCAGGCTCCGAGCCATCAGCCCAGAGCCTGACGCGGGGCTCGAACTCACGGACCGCGAGATCGTGACCTGGCTGAAGTCGGACGCTTAACCGACTGCGCCACCCAGGCGCCCCTAATTCCCATTTTCAATTGTCAGCTCAAAACAATTTTTTAAAAACTCTCGTGGCTGCTCAAATAGCTTTCCACTGTATGCAGACCAAACACACCAGAGGTAAGGAGAGAGGAGAATGTGCAGGGCCTCCTTGCCTCTTTCGGGTGCCCAAAACAACTGCTTGTCTATTTCCTTGGCTCCAGCAGGTGACACGTTGGTCTTGCATCAGATTGTGGCCCTATCTGGCCTGGGACCTTTTCATTTTTCCCTTTGTCTCCCCCAAGCCTGGTGTATAATGAATGCTGTGGAGGGAGCAAGTGGGTTAAACACTCTAGTCTGGCTTCTAGAGGGGCCGAGTCTCCATTTAGGGGCAGGGAATTGTCAGGCAAAGTGCAGGGCAGAAGCAGCCCGCCCTTACTGGCTGAGTGCCTGCCCGTGGCCTGGACTGGCCGACACCCTCCTCCTCCCAGTGGGTCCAGCCCAGCAGCCAGGGTCACGCCTTTGTCTGTTTTCTTGTCCGGTGTCTGTCTCTCCACTAGAATGAATGCCTCTTGAAAGCTGCCCCATGCTCTGTCCTGGTCACTGCAATACTTCCAGGGCCCAGAATGGTGCCCGGCAAGGAACAGCGGCTCAATAAATATTTGGAAGATGAAATTTGAAAATGGAGAGAGACAGACAGAAATGAACTGAAAAGGGGCTGACACACACTAAGAAAGGGGAAGAGCATGCCCTCTCCAGCCAAGAAGGGACACAGCAGAAGACGGAAACAGTGAAACACAGTCTCCTCGAGATACCCAGAGGTGGGTTCCAGGTGTGGCTGTGGCCCAAGCAGTCACAGGGCCGGCCAGCCAGGAGGACCTGGGCGGGGGTCGGAGCTTTGAGATACACAGACGTGAGGATGAAGGCAGGAGGAAGTCCAAGGTGGAGCCAACAGCGCACAGGCCGGGGCAGGAGACCGCTGGGAAGAGAAGATGGCAAAAACACTGGCTGAAGGTCATCACCCAGACAGAGCAGTGTGACAAAGGGCAAACCAGA